GCGACCACTTGTGGCTGGGATATGACAGTCGTTCCATCTGCTGTTGTCTATTTTAAGAGGTCGAATTAAATAATAAATGTACTAAATTGACTCGTCGCCAAAATATCAAATTCTGTGTTTAAAGAACCTCAATTCAAATGCAGATTATGTCTTAAGTAGCCAAACAAAATTTCAGTAAGCGAGATAGTAGACAAATAAACGAGCTCATACCTGAAATTGTTGTGGGAGTACTTGCAGCTGAAAAGATTGGCCAGGAGCCGCGGCAGCAGCACTCGCAGGTAATTGTAGTACATATTGAATTGGACCAGTAGCTATAGTACCAGCGGCGGAGTGCAATGGATTGTTTGCTTGGCCTATTACCGCGGCAGCAGATTGCTGCATCGCAGCCGCTGTGGCTGAGGGTGTGGGAGAGACAACGATGCCATCTGCTGTGGCGGAAACACCATTAGTAGCAGGAATAGTCACCGTTTTGTAGTCCAGTTTTTGCCCTGTGTTTAGCGAAGGTACATTGTTGATTATAGTTGCCGTCGCTGCAGCCGCAGAATTGTTAGGCGAAACAGTAGTTACGCTTTGCTGAGTAGATGTTGACTGAGAATACTAGAGATAAGCAAATAATATAGGGCAATGAGATAAATTGTATAGCAAAAATATAACTATCAAATCTAGTTACGCGTCTGTGACCACGAGCCTCTTCTCTCGGTACAATATCAATTAGAAAGTCAAACTGGTCCGTATCACTGTCGGAAACCGCCATTGCTACATCATTGCGCTGCAAAGTGCGACGACGATTACGTTCGGTATGTAGCCAGGCTCGAAGTGTGAGCTCCCTTATAAAGAGTTCAGCTGCTTTAGCGAAAAGAATAGGCGCTTCTGCACTTATCATCTAAATTAAGATTAGAATAAACGCATATTAAATGTAATGTAAAAAAATGTAAATAGTTGAAAGGCTCAAGCTCTAGCTTACCATTGCTTTAACGTCATCATCAAGCTTCATAATCTTCTTAATTCTTGCCAGAGGCAAATCCTGTGTCTTGAATGCATTGTGATCCTGCTTCATTTCGTCAATTTCTAATTTTGCTAGCTCCCAAAAGGAAGCAGTTTGCGCATGAGACTCAGATGGCTCATTAACATAATCCATGTCTATGGAATAGATTCGTGCACCACAGTTGGAATGAAATTATTGAAACTATAGTGTAGGAAAGTGAAAACAGAAAAGGAAAAGACGAAATATAATAATTCTAAAAACTAAAATAAACACAGAGTAATGTGAGCATAAGCATGCACAACT